CTGCCGCCAAGTCAGTGCCTGGAACAGTTGCTCTGTTCACCCTGCCCTACTTACACCACTGAATATAGTATAGGTAGAAAGGTAAAGAGAAGGGTAACAAAGATGGTCAGGGGAGTGAACATTTCTCATAGAGTCACAGAGAAGTAGAGCTGGAAGGTACCTCAGAGGTCATCTAGACCAACCCCTGCCTGAGGCAGGATCATCCCTATCCCAACCATCCCATACAACCATAATCTAAACTCTACATAAGACCACCCTCAACACTGAGACCCTAACCTGCCACAGGTAAAGCAAGGGAACCCCAACAGCCAATGTACTGCTTCTATAAAATGTTGTCAATATATTCACAAGACATCGTGGGCAGAGGGCCACACCCCCCATTACAGAGGAAGGCTGCCCCCCTTCCCACTCTGTACCAATTTAACCATGGGATAAAATTCCTTCCTGACTCCAAATACAACGATCGGTCTGACCCTGAGCAGAGGGGCAAGACCCTCTAGCCAGGAACATTTGGCTTTGCTTCTAGCAAGAGAATCAGCACACACCAGTTGAAGTTCCTAGCCTCAGCTATAGCCAACACCCAATGCCTCTAGGGAGGCTTAAAAACACCTACATGCAGCAGAAAAAAGGAAGTGGGGGGTGGGGTGGGAGCAACCAGCAAAGCCCAGAAGGCATAGGAAATACCCATGGTAGAAAACAGGCATACCTGTACCTAGTTTATTCCCAACCAGTGACTGTCCAACTTCTTCTTAAAGACCTCCAGTGACAGAGAGAGTCCAAAACTTCCCTAGGTAGTCTATTCCACTGCCTCACTGTTCTCACAGTGAAGATTTTTTTTTTCTGGATATCCAATCTAAATTAATTTTGCTGCAACTTCAAGCTCACATCCTCCTTTCTGCAGCAAGAGAGAAAAGGTGTTTTCCTCTTCTTTATGGCAGCCCTTCAAGTATTTGAAGACTGCTATCATGTTCTTTCATAAGCATCTCTTCCGCAGCCTGAACATGCCTAGTTTATTTAGCCTCTCCTCATAATTTGCCTTCCAAGCCCCTGATCATCTTCGTTGGCCACCTCTTGACCCTCTCTAATTTCTCCACATCCTTTTAAAATTGTGGAGCATGCAGTAGTTCAGATGAGGCCCAGTCAGTGCCGAGCAGAGAGGCACTATTACTTCCCATGTCTTCTACTAATACTTCCAGTGATGCATCCCAAAACTACATTGGCCTTCTGTGCAGCTGCATCGCACTGGGGACTCATATTAAGTTAATAAACACTTTGAACAGCACCAGGCCCAGGCCCCTGTGGGACTGCAATCAAAACCTCTTGCCATTATGATATAGATCCATTAACAGTTACCCTTTGCTTGTGGCTATTGATCCAGTTATCTATCCACCTAGTAGGAGTTTTATCCAGCCCACATTTCTCCAGTTTGTTTATGAGAAGGTCATGCAGGACCTGGTCAAAAGCCTTGCTAAAGTTCAGATACACTATATCTACCGCATTCCCTTCATCCACCGAAGCAATTACTTTGTCAAAGAAGGAGATCAAGTTTGTTTGACATGATTTGTTTTTCATAAATCCATGCTGGATGCTTGTGATCAGTCTTTTTCTCCTCCAGATGCTTGCAAATGCCCTTCCTTAGGATATGCTCCAGCAACTTCCCAGGCATTGAGATGAGGCTAACTAGCATGTCATTTCCTGGGTCCTCCTTGCCTTTTTTTGAAGGCAAGGGCACTACATTGGCCCTTTTTCATTCCTCTGGTACCTGGTCTGTCTCCCACGACTTCATGATGATCATTCCCTGGGACTCCAAGATCTCCTAGGAGGAGAGTCTGAAAAGACTAGGGGCCAGATTCTATTCTAACTGCTAGGCACTTAAGTGGACGTAGGTGTCTAAGTATGATTAAATTTCACCCTGCTCAAGTCCCTGAAAAACTATTAATGCAAAAGGTGTGTGGGTCCTCCTCCCCTTCCTGCTTTTTTTGTGACTCACACTGTCATCCTACCCTTAAGACTATTACAGAATTAGTTGCATTAATGGATTTTCATGACTCAAACTGGGCAGAATAGAATTGCACTTAGGTTCCTGTGTCCACTTTCATGTTCAATAGGTGATATAGAATCTGGCTCTTGGACTCTAATGTAAAAAAGATGGCAGGGGAGGGGGGTATATGATAGAGACCTATGAAACCACAAATTATTTGGAAAAAGTAGACAAGACTAATCTGTGGTGATCACCACCACAAGACATCATGGAGGCCAATAGTATAATCAGGCTAAAATTGAGATTAAACAAGTTTACAGAGGATAGACCCAGGTTGGGGTATGGAAACACCATAGTCATAGATAGAACCTCAGTCTCAGGACATCCATTACTATATGATGGTTGGTAACTAGGAAGTTTGGACTCAGTGGGCATATCCCCACAAGTGGGAACATGTGTTTCCCTGGGGACAAGTAGCAGTGGTACACATTGTGCTGCTGCTACTTGTCTCTGGGGAATGCTTGTGTCATGCACACTCTGGAGCATGGCACGTTGCCCTGGGTGGGGTAGGCGAGGCTGGGACTATCAACTGTGCTGGCCTCAGTAGACTTACCTGGGGTCCTGAGGGCCTCCAGGAGATGCAGCCATAGCTCTCCTGCAGCAGGGAACCTTGCTGGCAGCTGGAGTGTGGCTTTGACTGGCCAGACTCCAGTTTTGGGTGGAACGCGCTGCTGCCACGTGTACTGCCCTGCTTTTTTTACACATGGGTTTTTTGACCCCAGGATCTCCTGGGGTCAAAAAATCCACCCATGCTGCAAAGTAGCAGTGTGGGGAATGCCTGCATGTCTGGTGTTGCATACCACGTATTAATGCTCAACTGGACACACCCAGTGGGTGCATCCAGCCATGTGTACATGTGCAGTTTGCAGCACCACAGTTATTTGAGGCACAGCAAACTGCATGCAGTGCATGTGCAACCATTCACCAGACTGCTAATTTGTAGCACTGTGCCAAAATTTGACACCAGGAAATCCCAGTGTCAAAAACAACCTCTGCAAAAAAAAGTGGCATGGCGCACGCTCCAGGAGCATGCGTCAGCAGGCATGGAGGCTCAGTCCTCCAGGGAGATGCTCTGGCTGCTGGCTAGAGCATCTCTTGTCTTCTAGTTGTTTCCCAGCTCCTCTAGCATGCTGGGGGCCAGAAAATGGCCATTTGCCTGAAGTGGAGCATTTTGTCCTGCACTAACCCCATGTTCACGGGCTTACAAGAAGAGGGTGCCACTGCTATTTTTGTGCCACAGCAAATGCACACCCCTGCATGTGCATGCTCATCTGGTCGCACCCAATATGGCAATTCTTATTTTCTTTTCTTATATTCTTATGGACTTCAATGGCAGGAGCAAGGAGGGAGGCAAGCTTGGGGCTTACAAGAAGAGGATTTATTGAAGAGACTCTTGCCATCAGAAAATTGAATTGATACAGAACCTGTAGCAACAATTGCCAATGTGTAGTATTGCTGATGACTTTCATGAGGGGAATCATCTTAACTATAGATAAATCCTTGCCTTATAGGGTGTATTCACTTTATATAGCTCCAAACTATCACTAATACTTGTTCCATTGCTTCAAATTTGCTTAGTCTTCTTGGTAACCCAGAGTGGATGGCCCTCACAATTTCATTGCAAGATTTGTAATATCTGGTGTTTTCCGTCTAACATCTCAGCTTCTGGAATCACATGAATATTGGAGAACCTCAGCTTCCATTTCATAAAAGAAGTACATTTCTAGTCCACATGGTGGCAGGGAAAAACATGAAAAGGCAACTGAGTCCACTTTAAAGCCTCAGAAACCAAAAATGCAAATAACAACAACCCAGAGCTTATTAAATGTTAAATATTTTTTGCGATTTTTGGAGACTGACACATTGGTTTTGAATCTTTTGCCTGGCAGTATGGCTAAGGAATTTAGCCAGTCTCTGCCAAATGGATTGGCCCTGAAAACCCACCTTGATCCTGAGGAATCTAACTTTCTATTACTACCATCAAATGCAGTGAAGATGAAAAAGTGATAGCATAGTAGCAAACACTGTCCCAAGGTTGGATTGTGAGGCAGGAGCCTGCAAGGCAAGCATGCCAGACCCCATGAGGGTGTAGTCAGGATTTCTGTTGGCCAGTGGCAGCGCACCCTTTGATAATAGGGCTTCCAGTAGTCAGTGCTAGTGGTTCTGGGATTGGCTGCCTGAAAAAGGTAGTGCTGGGTGCAGCTAGGTTTCTTCTTGGCCTTCCTACCCCATTGCTATGAATGGATTAGATTGCAAACCTAAGTACGAGATTGAAAGTCATCAGTGAAAAATTATGCTTGCAGTCTGTCTGTGACACCTATACAGTACTGATGGAGGAAGCAGTGAGACATATATTTTTGTGTGTGTCTGACTGAGGAATTGAAAAAACGCAGGCCTATTGCAATTTGCTTAGTACAACAAATTACATAGCACTTATGCTGCTGTTCATTGCAGCGCTGAACCTGTAGGAATTATGAATATGGTAACAATGAGAGCAACCCACATTTGTGTTTCTGAGCATAGAAAATGACCTTTCAAATAGTTACAGATGAGAGTCAGCTTGGCTGTGGTGTCAAATAGATACTGTGTGTTCTGTTTTGTCTTCAGACCCCCATGCTGTGTGTTGCTAGGTATCAGGATAAAGGCACCTTCTGCCAGAAAATGTCAATTTATACCTTTTGGTGAAAGTATTTACAGCATCTTATGACCACATGCAAAAGTAGTGACACAATGTGCTTAATACATTGTGCTAAAGATTTGTTGTCAGAAAATACACAACAGAGTATCTGCTGCACCAATACAACTTGCTCTTAACCCTGGAGAGTCTATTTTGTCCTTTTAGCATACTGATACCCACATGTAATCAAAAGACACAGTAGAACAAAGCAAGATGCTTCAGTGTTATGTCTGTGCTTGTAATTCCTTTTTATTCTTCTGTATATTTTGTCCTTTTTGAAAGGTATTCAGGAATCTCCAGTACCAAATGGCCATTCCCTCCCGGGTAGAGATTTCCTTCGGAAGCAGATGCGAGGAGATCTTTTCACTCAGCAGCAGTTAGAAGTGTTGGATCGAGTCTTCGAGAGGCAACATTATTCTGACATTTTCACAACAACTGAACCCATCAAACCAGAGCAGGTACTATTGTCAACTGCCCAAGCTTTCCAAGTACACACTTCTGGGCTGTAGGCTCACTTTTGCTTGAAATTATGCAGCATTTAATACTTATGCTTTAACTAGGGAAAAGAACAAAGGAAAGGGGGTGCCATACTGAACTGTGTTCAAAGAAGTACATAGGTGTCTTAGAGATGTGTACATTAAACCAAGAAATAGAAAAGTAGTTGCTGCTTACAGAATATAAAATGTTTTTGGGATGAAATTGGAGTTGATGTTGCAGTTGGATCACACATGTTTAAAGTGTTTGGAGTCTGTATTGGATGTTCTTATTACGTTTATGGCAGGGTTTGCAGATACCAAGGACCGCAGTTTCAAAATTGCATGCTATTTTGGGTGCATATGGACTGTTATTGTGCATTTGTACCCAAACTGGATGTTTTGCACAAGTAAATGGCCAGTTAGTTGTCTATTTGGCTACGTCCAGACAAAGCCATGATTTCTGTGTACCACTGGGTATTGCATCTGCAGGTTATTTGTGGAGTTATGAGAAATATGGCCCAGATATATTTTTAGGAACCTCTTACATTTTTGCCCCTGTTTCAGACAGCGAAAAGTTCTGTCTCTGATTTCCAAGTAGCTGGTTTTTGTTGTTGTTAAACCACTGTTTAGCCCCAGCTGTAGGACAAGTTCTTACTAGCCTCTATCTGAGGTAGCCATGTAGCTTGTGCTGTCATTTCAACTCTAGGATACATTAGCTACTTTGCCTGTGTTTAGCAATGCATCTGGCTACTTGTCAATCATCTCCTGGATTTCCTGTGTTCAATCTGCATTCCTTGCATGATGAAAACATGGGAAAACAAATAATCTCCTGCTGGCACACGTGAATTAGGGCCCTGGCAGGGTTTTTAGAGATTCTGATAGGGGCACAGAAATGGGGAAATATATGTTGCATTCAGTTCTTTGATGCTAAAAGTTCTGCAGTAGAGTGGAAATCTCACATACCTTCAAACTCTAAACACACTAATTTTTCTTAATTTCTCCCCAGTTCAACCTTCAAATATTGAAGAAGCAGCTTCTGACTCATGTTGTCCCTGTAACAGTTTGCAGTCTTTAGAAATGCTGCAATCCGCTGTGTTCAGCTGAACACACCTGGAAAAAAGTGCCAGGAGTGCTCAGTTAATAATGGGGTTGTTTTGAACCTAGTTCAATAAACCAAAGAAACAACTGAGACTAGGGAAAGTGAAATGCCTTCATATACCACTAGATGGTGATTATTCCATCCCTAATACTTGTGGTAACTTTGAGACACTAGCACAGCATCTGCCCATATTGTAGGCTGTTTCAGAGTTGGTTATATGCAAGCCTTTTGTTGTCAGTTCTCTCCCAGTTTCTTGCATTTCCATGTCACCAATAATTACAAAGGAAATGCTGTGGTGGAAAAAGCTACCTGACAACATTTCTGAGTCTTCTAGATTCTGAAGGATCTGCTGTTACTCAGAATCTGAGTACAAAGTCAAAGTACAGAGTGTAGCAACAAATCTAGAAACAGGAGTTTCTGCTGGTTACCACCTGATACACTCAGCAGAACAGGGACTCAATCCAGGGGTGCTCCTAAGCCACCTTGATTATCAAATAATGGAATATTCAATCTACCTGCCGCAAAGAGAGATCACATCTGATCTGCTCTTTCTGTGTTTTGGTGGGCAGATGTACTGATTACAGTCAGAAATTAGACTGGAGGTATGGACCCCCTCACTGAACTGAAGGCCTGATGCTCTGAGGTGCTGAATACCTGCTGGGAGATGCTATGTTAATGACTGCAGAGGGCTTTCAGCTCCTTGCGGGAACTAGGCTCCAGAGAGTTTTATATATGTGGAGGTAGCAGATTGATTGCCTCAAATAAAGATGAGCACATTCATTTGCTCAGAAGAGCTCTGACTCAGGTTTTTGATTTTCAGAACTGGCTGTGGCTGTTGTCAGCGTGGTACAAAACAGAATATTCACAAGTATGAAAAGAGAGAAAAATTGCAGCACTAAGCCACAGTGATGCTATGCTCAGAACCACTTCTCAGTCCCTTATAGCAACCACAAGATTATGCCTGATCTCAGTCCTAGGAGAAGCAAACCTATCATTCCAATACAAAACCTACTGAAACAGAAAATCTGTCTGTTTCCATTAATAAGACTGAAAGAAATCAATTACAAAGAAAGCCTTAATCACTTGAAGGGGAAAATCAGAAATATTCCTGCCATATATAGCTCAAGGACCTGATCCAAAGCTGATTGAACTTAATGGAAAGAGTTTCATTGCATTCAGAGAGCTCTGGGTCAGGTGCTAAATGAGCAGTGGGCATAAAGAAAAATTAGTGACTGCTGAAGACGAGGCACCATACCACGCCTGAAATAAGTCAGGATTGCCCAGCATTGGTGGAATGTGGATGAGTTCTGGTCCGTTCTTAAAATAAGCTGCCTGCTCCTTAACTGATATTCTACACTGTAAGCATTTGCAGTGATGCCAATAAGACCTTCTGGGCTAAGTGCTACTTCTCTGGTGAAATGTGCTACTTCTCGGGAAACTATAGGCCAGTCAGTCTTACCTCAATCCTGGGCAAGCTGTTCGAGAAAATTATTCTGGCACACATCCAGGAGGGGCCAGCAGGGAAATGCATGCTCAGGGGCAACCAGCACGGGTTCATCAGCGGCAGGTCATGTCAGACCAACCTGGTGGCCTTCTACGATCAGGTCACTAAATCATTGGATGCAGGGGTAGCAGTGGATATAGTCTTCCTGGACTTCCGGAAGGCTTTCGACACTGTCTCTCACCCCGTTCTCATTAGGAAACTGGGGGACTGTGTCGTAGACACCCACACAGTCCAATGGGTCACCAACTGGCTAGAGAGCCACACCCAGAGGGTGGTAGTGGATGGGTCCTTCTCAGCCTGGAAGGACGTGGGCAGTGGGGTCCTGCAGGGCTCGGTCCTTGGGCCCGCCCTGTTCAACATCTTCATCAGTGATTTGGATGAGGGGGTGCAAAGCACCCTGTTCAAATTTGCTGATGATACCAAGATGTGGGGGGATGTGGGCACAATAGAAGGGAGCAACAGGCTACAGTCGGACCTTGACAGGTTACAAGGATGGGCGGAGGAGAACAGGATGGGGTTCAACACAGACAAGTGCAAGGTGATGCACCTGGGGAGGAACAACCGGCACCATACGTACAGGCTGGGGAACTCCCCTCTTGTCAGCACGGAGGTGAAAAAGGATCTTGGAGTCATTATTGACTCCAAGATGAACATGGCTCAGCAGTGTGGGGAGGTGGCTAGGAAGGCCAACTGTACCTTGTCGTGCATCCACAGATGCATCTCAAGCAGGACCAAGGAGGTGATCCTCCCCCTCTATGCGACACTGGTCAGGCCGCAGCTGGAGTACTGCATCCAGTTCTGGGAGCCGCACTTTAAGAGGGATGTGGACAGCATCGAGAGGGTCCAGAGGAGGGCCACTCGCATGATCAAGGGACAGCAGGGCAGGTCCTATGAGGAAAGGTTACGGGACCTGAACCTGTTCAGCCTCCAGAAGAGAAGGCTGAGGGGGGAATCTTGTGGCCTGCTATAAACTAGTCAGGGGGGATCAACAGGCACTGGGGGAGTCCCTGTCCCCCC